AACCCATCTAAACATTTTAAGTGGCTGATTTTGCAAGACACTCATCTTGGCATTGAGGATACAGAGACAAAAATACAATAGCTCTGTCCTCAAGACTTTACGTTCTATAAAAAAGATACAACATAGAAAAAAAAAGATGCCAAAGACAAGAAAAGTTAAAGAGGGAGAGGGTGCTAGCACCAGGGAAGATGAGGGAAGGCTTCCAGGAGAAGGTGACACCTGAGTTGACTCTTAAAGGAAAAAAAGATTCAGAGAGGAGATTAGGAGGGAGTTCATTTCCAGCCTGGGGAATAGTTTTCATGAATGCATGGAGTGGGGAGATGGAGTATGGAGTCTGGTTTTTCAGGGGAATAGAAACGAGGTTGGAGAGGTAGGTGGGATCCAGATAATCTAGGGTCTTGAATGCCAGGGTGAGGAGTTTGTATTTTGTCCTGTAGGCAACGGGAAACCACAGAGCCGGGGAGTGACTTCAGTTTTGTGTTTAGGAGAATTAATTTAGCAGCTGTGTGAAGGATGGGTTGGAGACAGGAGAGAATGAAGGCAGAAAGAGCAATAGAGTTGTTGCAATAGTCTGGGCTAGAAGTGATAAGGACTTGATTTGAGGTGTGGTCATATTTTGAGTGGATAGAAGGAGACAGATACAAGAGATGTTATGGAGTTAAGATTGACAAAACTCGGCAACTAACTAGATAAGTTGAAGTAGGAGTAAAAGAGGGAAGCAATGAGTCCAAGGGTATAGAGGAACCTGGGGAACTGGAAGGATGGTGGTACCCTTAATAAAAATAGGGAAGTTTAGAGGAGGAGGCTTAGGGGAAAAAATAATGAATTCCATTTTGGGTATGTTGAGTTTGAGATATCTAAGGAGCATCCATTTGGAAATGTACAATAATTGATGTGGGACTGGAACTCAGGGGGAAAACTGGAGCTGGGTTCAGTTATCTGTGCCTTCAGTTACCCCTTCTCTGTATCTTCTGACCTCTCCATTCGCCCTCTCCCTATCCCCTCTGATTTTTCCTTCAATCACTCTTTTCCTTGCCTTTCTTTTGCCTCTCCCTGTTTCCTCTGATATCCTCCAATCCATCCCTTATCTGATTGCCTCCCTTAGACCTGACTTTAGCACAGTGCCTGGCACATAGTAGACATTTAATAAATGTTTGTTGAATGAATGAATATTCTCTGATTCCCCACCTCATTCATCTCCTTTCCTTTCATCCCATTTTCACTTATCCATTCCTATTCTTTTCTCAGTTATCCTCATCTCTCCTCCCTCTGATGCTTCCTTCTCTTCCCCCCTCCCCATCTCTCCTATGAGTTCTTTTCTATCTTCTTCCTTTTGAATCTTCCTCAATAATCCCCATCCTTAGCACCCTCTTCAGTCATTCTGCTGCCTGTCTCTTCTTTCTGATCCCCCTCAGTCAACTCCCCCTGCCACAAGAGGATGAGTGGTAAAAAGCAGGGAGGCAGACCTACTGTAGTACCTTGGAAGGTGAAAAAGCCTACCCCTGGGCCTAAGTCAAGAGCACCTAATGGTGAGTTCATGGGCCTTCCCTCAACCGACTCGGGGTCCTACCATCCACAATCCCAGGGCTGATCCTCAAACCAACCCCCATTCAATGTGCCTTTTGACCTTCTTTATACCACCCCCTCTAAATTCATATCTGACTGACTGGTCCTCAGACACCCAGCAACCTTTTCCTAACGTGTTGAATAACCTTCAGACCTACTATATACATTCCCTTCAACATCTCCTCCAAATCCACCTCAGACTTAATGGGTATCCCTCAGATTCTGCCTTCTCAGTCCACTTCTGACCTACTGAGAGACCCCACTCCATCCCCAACCATCTTCAGAGATTCCTTCTTAATTCCTGCATTTGGAGTGGAAAAGTGGCCAAAAAAGAAGCCTGTGTTGCCCCTAGAGCTCAGGAGAGTGTCATTCCTGTAACCTTGTTGGGAGGGAGGGGGTTGGAGAAGGGAGAAGTGGGGATTAGATGTTGGACTACTGAAAAGATTTTTGTTGAGACTTTGGCTTGAATTTGTTGATGAGATCAAGTGACATTTGATGTGGGTCTATACTTGACTAGGTCTGTTGGAGGAAGATAAGAGCAAAAATGGGGTAGAGATTGAGACCAGAATTAAGAAGGGGTGGTATTACATTAAAAAGAGCACTGTACTTGAAGTCAGGATTTGGGTTCTAATCATGACTCTAGTACTTAATACCCATATAACCTTGAGTTACATCAATTTCCCTCTCTAAAAAAATGAGTGGGTTCGATCAGATGATCTCTGAGGTTACTTCCAATTTGAAAGCTATATTTTTATAACTTAGCACACAGCCTCATAGACAGGGTGTCCCAAAGGTTCAAACTGCACTCAGGCTTTTGGGACTTCCCAAGTCTTCTCTTCCCTAGCTAATCATTCCCAAGTTCACTCAATCAACAGGTGCTTCTTAAGAACTTACTATGTGTAGGCACTAGACTAAACTCTGGAGATATAAAAAAAAAACAGACATGGCCAGTCTTTACCCTCAAAGATACATTCTAAGGGGCAGAGACAATACATAAAATAATTGGCACATACCGGATACTCACAGAGTAGATGGAGGGTTCTTTAACTATTACTCATGGATGAATGGTAGGCCTTTCCCCAACCTGGCTGCCTTCCTCTCTTCTCCCTCTTGCTTATCAATGCCCCTCCTAAAGTATGGCGCCCAAAAGTGAACACAATGCTCCAAATATTTAACCAGAGCAGAGTAAACAGATCTCAGTTTAACTCATTTTAAGTAACTTACTTTGTAAGACACTCATCTTGGCGTTGAGGATACAGAGACAAAAATACAATAGCTCCATCCTTAAGACCTTACATTCTGTAGAAGAGATACAAGATGGAAAGAAAGATGCTCAGTTCAAGGAAAGCTAAGGAGGGAGAGGATGCTAGCACCAGGGAAGATGAGGGAAGCCTTCCAGGAGAAGGTGACACCTAAATTGACCCTTGAAAGAAAATAAGATTCAGAGGAGGAGATTAGGAGGGAGTTCATTTCCAGCCTGGGGAACCCCTTATAGCAGGACAAAGCAGCATCAGGCTAAATGTATTGTCACCTCTGGTCCTCAGAATAAGCAATCCCAGTAGAACCCAGAGTGATCCCAGAGAAACATATAGTGAATCCCGGGAGATCCTAGCTGAGTTCAGTATGCCCCCAGAGACATTATTCTCATTTCTGACAGACCCCTGACTGACCCCAGCTTGCCCTAGGATGACGCTGGTGAAATTTTAAACTAATCCTGAAAAGCTCATTCCTCTACATCTCCAAATCTTGATTACTCCCTTAGAGATGCTTCAATCTTCCCCTTTATCAGCATTTACCAATCCATGTCACTACTACTAATCCATGTCTAATCTATGCAAGCATATACTGGTCTCCTCAGGCTCAGAAATGCACACTGCTCACAATCTTTGACCCTTCTCATTCCATTCCCTGAAATCCTATGTCCCAAGACTCTAGGTCTTATAGGATTTCCCATGCTGGATCAAAGGACCCAAGAGAACCCACCCCCCTAGGAGAGTTGAGGGAGAGCAACTGTTTAACACCACTCCCTACCTTCCCCCCCACCCCCCAGGCCTCACACATGAGTCCCTGAAATAGCCCCCGCTGAGTCTGAGGCTAGGGCCAGCCTCCTTAATAAGAGTAATGAGCACAGCCACAGCGTGCTTCCCTGATCCCTAAGCACCCAATAAATGCCAGGGAGGGGGACAAATCAACCAGGAAACCAGCCCTTAAGGGGAGATGGGGGTAGGGCAGAAAAGGATGCTTAGAAACACGAGCTTTCTCTGCTCTCCATCAGTCCTGACTCACCATACTCAGGCTTAGTCTCTCCCATCACACACAAACATGAACATGTACCCTGTACCTCAAGTAAACAGATGTTTCCCCATACACACATGTAGACAAACATATGCCCTTATCCTGGGAACATTCTCCCTTATGGGAGCACTGCCCCCAAAATACATACATACACATAGCCCCAACATAGCATCATCTGAAAACATAAGTGCATACATATGCTCTCCACAGGAACAACTTCCCCCCCTAATACCTTCCCTCTTCTTATTACTTGCCTACCTCAGTCTGACGTGGGACCCTATAGCAGCTCCTCCTTTCTCCCATACTCGGCCTTGTAAACCCAACTCACAGATCTTTAGTTTCCTGTAGGCCTATTTGAATGAGGCCATTTCATATTCGTCATCTGATCAGCATCTTCTCTCAGAACATTCCCCATCATGTATATCTACTAAGCCCCCTTGACTTCTTCCCAGAAAAGATTCCATCACCTATAGCCCATCATACATGCTTATCATCTCTCCAGATTCCAGCCTAGAACACATTTCATTTCATGTACCATCAAACATCTTCCAAATCTCTGTTTATGACACACTCCATCATATGGCTGCTAACCCCCTTGCCCAGATCATGATCCATCAGATGTTTGCCAGCTCTCCCCACTCCTGCCTAGAACAGGCTTCATCATGTCTTTCAGCAGCCCCTTCCCAGAACATGTTCGATCACATATTTGCCAACCCATTGCCCAGAATGTGTTCTATCACATCCCCCAAATTGCTTGCCTCCCTAAATATCATATGATCCATCCCCCAGCTCTTTCTAAGACAGGCATATCATCAAATGCCCAATTTACCATTACAGCAATCTGTCTTTTCTATTGCCTTTTCCAGTCAATTTTCTGTATACACAATGGCTATTCCTTCCCAAAGACTCGATGACCAGCCAGTCCCCTCCCCAAGAGGCCACAGTTGTCCCTGTCTAGTCCCCTCAGGGTCAGTGACCAGCTCGTCCAATGACTGAGATGTCAGTGACCAGTCTCTCTGTGGCGTGTTGACTCTCAGTGGTCCATCCATCCCTCCAAGAGGTCAGTGACTGATTACTATCTACACCACTTCCAGTGGTGGCCCTTGGCTGTAGGCCCTGTTCTTCTCTCAGTGACTTACCTGACCATGCACCTGTTCCTCCTGCTCTTCAAAGCCACCTGTCCTTAGCTGCTCCAGCTCCAGGGCTAACTCAATCCCCTCCATCCGTACCCATGCGTGCTCCTCTTGTAACTGCTCAAGCCACCGCTGTTCCTCTTGCCATAGTTGCTCTTCCCTCCAGAGTTGCTCCTCCAGCTGCAGTTGGAGCTGAATCTGCCGCCGGCGGTCCTCCAATAAGAGCTGCTCCCTCTCCAGACACAGCTGGACCTCTTGGAGTCTCAATACTTCCTGTGCCAGGGCTGGGTCAGGGCAGCTAGCCCCATATCGCCCCAGCTCCATGGCTGTGACCAACACCAATTCTGGGCTTGCAGTTGAAGCCTCTGTCACTACTGCCCCTGAGCAATCTGACCTGACCACTGGTTCAGGGTGCCCGACAGCAACTGACCTGCCCATCTCCTCCATCTCCTCCATCACGTGCTTTCCCTGACCCGCCCCATCCTGGGGGCCCCCTGGGGCCAGTGGCCTACTCTCAACCACAGAGCCTGTCTCACCCCCTCCCTTCCGACCACGGCCCTGTCTCTTAGTTCGGGGTCTACGGGACCGACCGCGCTTCCCAGACATGGTGTCCAGTCTGTGCTGTTGCCCCTGAAATGACTATCTGCCCTGCCCTACTGGTCACAGTCCCCTCTCACTCCCCAGCACCCCAGAGGGCCTGGTCATGTTGCCCAAAGTGTTCTCTCTGACCAGCCTCCAGCAAAGATAGTGTTAGGGGATGGCACAAACTCTCAGAGGTGAGTGCCAGGATAGGCCAGCCCTCAGGCTCACCCCCCCCCGTGGTCCCCTGCTTGCCTGCCTGTCAGCCAGCCGGTATCCTGTCTGGTCCGTCTGCCTCTCCCCCACGCACCCTCCCGGTCCTCTGGCCGGCAGCTCTAGGCTGAGAGCCTTCTGAGTGTCTCTCTCGGCCCAGGAAGGCTGGGGCTAGACCAGGCTAGGTTGGAGAGTTTATAGGGACTCCGAGCTGCCGCCTCTCAGCCAGGCCTCAGAGGCTGACTAACAGGCTGACACATGGCAGCAGGGACTTTATGGGCCACAGGCCTGGTTAGCCAAACCAAGGTAGAGCTACACAGAGACAGTGAGAGAGGCAGCTTTCACAGAGGCAGGATCTGACAACGTGTTTACAGCAACTTGTTGGGTCCTGTATCTGGGCTGGGCGTACACCCACAGCACTGCCTTATATGGAATCACTTCAACCCCTTGCTGATGGGACCGGGAAACTCAAACCCCAAACCCTCACTTAGCCTGCGTGCCATGGACCCTTAAGGAGCAAGGATGCCTTGAGCCCTCACTGACCAGTTGGTTTTGTAGTGACAAACCATTGATCACAGAATAGTTAGCTGTCCAAATAGTGTAGCTGTTCAAAAAAGAGTGCTTAACTTAGGGCATCTTAATTTTGAAAGGTAGCATGGTGTAAAGGAAAGAACACTGGATTTGGAATTTGAGGACCTGAATTTGAAATCTAACTTTCCCACTGTGTGACGCTGACAAGTCTCACTCTGCTAAATGATTTTGAACATTCCTTTCTGCTCCAAAAATCCTAGGAATTCAGAGGAGTCCAAGACCCCCAGTAGGAAATCCAGAACCCAAGCCCTCACTAACTCACTGACTAATGAGCACTTCAGCCTCCCAGCCTACTGACTGAGCCCTCACTGACCAGGGAAACAAACCCCAAATCCAGCAATTCTGAGGTCTGTGTGGACATGACTGTGTTTGCTGCTAGGGAAGCACTGTGAGAATACAGTACAAAGAATATACTCTATGCCCAGAGCTATTTGAGAAGATTATAGCTGGCACATAGAGTCTTTAAAACGTTTACAAAGTGTTTTACATAACATTATCCCATTTGATCCTCACACTAACAGGTAAAGTAGGAGACCCAGGCTCAGAGTTTAAGTAAGTTGCCCAGGGTTATATCCCTAAGGAAATATCAAAGGCTAAATTCAAACCCAGGCCTCTCATGACTCCAAGTCCAGGGCTTTTTCTTTTTTGCCATGCTCCCTTGTAAAATGTACAGGAAAAGATTACTAGTAGTACCAGGTAGCACATGAGCAGTATTAAGTGAGTAGTGGGCCTGATGGGGATGCACCTTGAGCTCTGTGGGCTCAGAGGGATGTAACAAATAGGAAGAGGGGGATCTGTGGACCAGAGTAGTCAGTGAGAGTAAGGGAACTGAGGTGTCTGCTGATCACGGAGGGAAGCTTGAGCTCATAGACAACCTGTAACGGTTGGTAGGTTTTGGGTCAGTGGGGGGCACTTAGGTGAGCAAATGTTTGGAGGCCCTGAAAGTACAGGATGTGTCTGAAAGCTGTGAGCAGCCCAGCTGAGGGGGAGCTTTATCGTGGCCTTCAAGTGTTAGAAGAGCTTCCAGAGGGATATTCAGAATGGGGTGAAAATTTGGAACTCAAAAACTTATGGAAGTGAATGTTGAAAACTAAAAATAAATAAATTTATATTAAAAAAAAAAACAGAAGAGCTTCCAGGCAGAAGAGGTTGGCCTGAGAGGGCAGAATGAGGAGCAAAGGGTGGATGCTGAAGGGAGACAGATTCAGGTAAGATGGCAGGCAGAAGCTCTTGACAATGAGAGCTGTCCAAGCTGAATGACTATTTACTGAGAGTATCGCAGAGGGGATTCCCACTCAGCTGTGGGTTGGATTAGATCAGACTTCTGTGGTCCTTTCTTGATCTGAGAATCTGGGAATGGGAATCATGCAGAATGCTGAGATGGAACAAAAGGAAATAAAACCAGACCGTCCAGATTATAAAGGGCCTTGAATGCCAAATGTATGAGTATGAGCTTTACCTCACAATCAGGGAACCCAGGGAGAAGGCCCAAGGATGGTCAGAAGTACTGACTCCTGCACCAGATTCAGCCCTTCCTCACTTCTCCCCCCTTCCTCACCACCCCTTCACTTGATGTGATATTTCACACAGACTCAAGGCATCCTTGCTTAGGTGAGTGTGGAAAGGGGGCTTCTTTAACCAAAATGTAATTGTTAATCAAATTCCTCTTAAGTACATGGGTATGTAAAGGTCCAGTTGAGGTTGGTCCTAAGGAGAAAAAAAAATAGAAGGGATGCAGTTGGGTGGGGCCCAGATGAGACAAACAGTAGTAAAGAAGGGGCATGGGTGGGGGTTCCCTAACAGTAATATCTCGAGCCCTCCCCTTCCTCACTTCTTCCCACCACAGTCTGCTTTGGGTGAGTCATACCAACGCCCAGAGCTCAATAAACTCCTCAACCTACCGGCCCTTCAGGTTTGGCCTCCCAGACCCCTCCCCCGCCTCCCTGATTCCCCACCCTGCCCTCCCTTTCTTTCCTCTCCCCATTGGTCCTGAGAAGTGGCAAGAAGAGGAACCCTGGGGGGGAGGGGTGTGCTGGGCAGGACAAAGCAGAGTGTTGGAGAAAGTAGCTGTGAATGTAGTGTGGGGCCACTGGTGAGCATGGAAGGGAGGGGAACCACAGGTGCTACCTCACCTCCAGTTTTAGTGCCAGTGGGCACTGAAGCTACTTCTACCAGCCCCCTTCCCATGACCCTGGTTTACTGGGTGGCCTGGTGAGTCACTGATCTTTTCTGGTCTTCAATTTCCCCTTATGCTTTATGGGAAGAAGCTGAGGCTACCTTAGAGGAAGATGGACTAGCCCTTGGAAGTCAAGGGCTTAGTTTGGGTTCTTGGCCAGTGGCCAGACACGTCCAGATTTCCCCCAGACAGGTGTCCCAACATGGCTTAGGACTGGAGTGTGGTTGGTGTACAAGGTGCTAGTTGGGAGGCTGACTCTAAATCCTGACTCTGTCACTTATTACCCGTGTGACCTTGGGCAAATCACTTAACCTCTCTGGGTCTCAGTTTCCTCATCTGTAAAATGAGGGGGTTGGATTAGATAACCCATCAAGTTTTTCCCAGCTCTAAATCTACGATCCTACGACGCACTTCCTTACCCTTCATATGCAATCAGTAGTCAGTTTTTGTTTATTATATCGCTAAAACATCTCTTAAATCTATCCCCTTTTCCTCTTCAAATTCCTGCCTCCCTAGTTCAGGCCCTCATCAGCTCTTAATAACAGCAATAATAGTAACTGACACATGTAACCCTCTAAGGTTTTAGCATTAAACAACCCTCTGAGGTAATTGCTACACTTTCCCGCAGTCTCATACAGGCAAGTAAACTAGGGCCAGAAAGGCTAATATGTGAGACAGGTTTGAATCAAGGTCCCCCAGTCCTTCAGGTTCTCAGTCTAGGAGTCATCTTGGATTCTTCACTATCTATCACACCCCATTTCCAAGCTGTTGCCAAGGCCCATTGATTTCACCTTTACAACATCTCTCGAATACACCACCTTCTCTCTTCTGACACTGCCCCTGAACTGGTGCTGGCCCTCATCACTTCACACCTGAATTATTGCAATGGCTGCTGGTGGGTCAGCCTGCTTCAAATCTCTCCCCCACTACAATCCATCCTTTCTATTCATACACTAAAGTGGTTTTCCTAAAGCGCAGATCCAAACTTGTCACCCCCCTGTTCCTTAAACTCCAGTGACTCATTCCCTCCAATAACACATAGAAAATCAGTTTGGCATTCAAAGTCCTTCACAACCTGCCTTACTCCCTGGCATGTACTCTTGGATCTGGTGTCCCTGGCCTCCTGGCTGTTCCACCTCTGAGCTCTAGGCATGTTTCCTGGCTGTCCCTGGTGCCTGGAACACTCTCCCTCCTCCACTTCTCGTTACTGACCTCCCTGGCTTCTTTAAGTCTCAGCCAAAGTCCCACCTTCTAGAGGATGCCTTCCCATATTCCTCTGAATTCCAGTGCCTTCTCTCTTGTTAATTATTCCCTATTTATCCTGAATCTCGCTTGCTTTGTATACATTTGCATTTGTTTGTAGGTTGCCTCCCCCATTAGATTCTAAGCTTCTTGAGGGCAGAGACTTACCTTTTACCTCTTTTTCTATCCTCCATGCTTAGCAGAGTGCCTGGTACTTAGTATGGGGAGAATAAATGTTGATTGATTGATTCACTATGGAAAGCCTTTAAACCAGAGAACAAAATTTATTCAATAACAGATACTTCATACAGAAAAAAAAATCTTATTAATATAATATATGAAGCATGTAAGCCAGAGTTATCACACTAAGGAAGACCTGAGGTCAAATCTAGCCTAAGACACTTACCAGCTGTGTTACCCTGGGCAAGTCACTTAACCCAGTTTGCCTCAGTTTCCTCATCTGTAAAATGAGCTGGAAAAGGAAATGGCAAACCACTCTAATATCCTTGCCAAGAAAACCCCAAATAGGGTCAGACACAGCTGAAATGACTGAACAACAACAAAATTTCCCTTTTTACCTGGACAATCATACCAGTCTCCTGAACATCTGTGCGCTTCCAATTTCTTCCTTTTTTAGGCTATGCTTGATATTACTACCCTGGTAATATAGCTAGTGCATAGATTGACCATGACACTCTTGCCCACAAACCTTCAAGGGCTCCCTGTTAACTAGAAAATACAGATCCCTCAGTCTCTGTTGAAGGCTGTCCCTAAATCTCTTCAAATGACTTTTCTCGGCACATCTTACTCTAGTGCCCTTCATTCACATAGCTGATGTTGTGGCCAAGCTGAACTACAACTATTCCTCACCCTCATTCTAACCCACCCCATCCCCCTCTCCGAGAAGTCCCAAACAGACTCAAGCTGTGTCTCCTTCTACTGAAATCCTTTTCCCTTAGGTCCAGCTTTCTTCCCTCCTCCCCTTCATATCACTTTTTCTGGATCTCTTCTTTGCCCCTAGTCATGCTCTAGCTTATGTCATACTTAGCTATGTCCATGTGCCCTTGTATTAGAGGGTAAGCTCCTTGAAGGCAGCGACTTGGTGCTTTTTCATCTTTATATCTCTAACTCCCAGCACAGTGTTCCTGTTACCTACTGTTACACATAGTAGGTGCTTAATAAACATTTGTTAGTGGAATTGTTGGATCCTTCTCTGATGAGGAATCCCCTTAATGGAAGAGTATTGTGACGTGTGCTAATTAACGATGTTGTGTGTGGGTTTTTGCTGCTAATAATGGTGCATGTGGAGTTGACTTGTTAAGGCTGTTGAGTGCTGGGGGAACTCATTAAAGGCAGACGCTGGGAACCTTTTAGGAGCCCCATAAACATGACTGTGACTCCTGGGGTGGGCACTGGGGGCCATACTTCCCATTCCTCTTACTAACTACTATCTTCCTCAAATTAGAGAAGTCAGGCAGTGGTGTGAAAACTCCTGAGAATGCCAAACAACCTTTACCTTCTGTTCCAGACAAACCCACTCAACCCAAAGGTAAGAACGGTACAGAGTTATCACAAATGTGCCACAGCACCCTGAAGGCTCCTGAAGTGCTAGGCTGAGTGCTTACTCTTAGAGTGAGGGATCCCCAAGTGCAGGGCTATGTCTGTCTCCTCACTGGATAGGGGAGCTCAGTCTAGGTGAGGTAAATGGGAATTAAGTAAAGGCAGACTCAAGAGAAAAAGTGTGGGGGGGTGCTTTGGGTCTGAAACTCAGTCTTCTGTTTATATATATACCTAGTTAGATATATGTACATCAATGTCTATGTCTCTGTGTACGTCTGTGTCAGAGTATATGTCTCTCTGTGTCTATGTGTGTATCTGTCTGTCTTTATGTGTAGACTCCCTCTCCTGGCTGGAGAGAGAAATGACCACTCAGCTCTGGGCTCCTGGGATCCATACCACATATTGCCAAGTTTTCCCTGACTGCCTTACAACCCTCTTTTATGCTTTACCCTCTACTCAGAAGCAGCTGGTGGTGAAGTAAATATAGCACTAGATCTGGAGTCCAGAAGAACAGAGTTCAAGTCTAGCCTCGGGCACATACTAGCTGTGTGAGCCCAGGCAAGTCATTTAATCTCTGTTTGCTTTTGTTTTTACAGAAATCTCTGTAAAATGGGGATAATGATAGCACCTACCTTTCAGGGTTGTTCTGAGGCTCAAATGAGATAAATTTGTAAAAATAAATAAACAAATAAATCAATCAATAAATCAATCAATAAATGACACAGCACAGTGCCTGGCACACACTAGGCACTATATAAATTGTTATTCCCTTTTCCTCTTACACCCTACCCTGGGCATTGACATCTCCCATCACTTCTTCCTTCTCCATTTCTCTATGTCCTGAGGCCTTTTTCTCACTGAAACTCAGGCATCATGTTCTTCATATTCTATAACAAGAGGGAAAGGATTTGTGCTTTTGTAGGGTTGAACCTGGACATCGGAATAGCATGAAATCTTCCATATTTCAAGGAATGATGTTAGCAATAGAAGAGAATGAAGAGATTAAATAGTCTAAAATTTTCAAATAGAAAATGAGACCCAGAATATCTCCTAGAGTCACCTAGGCCTAGCCTGGCCCATCACTGTTCCTGCTAGGCCAGGTACATCTGGCCACCTTGCCCTTAACAAGAGAATGTCTTCTGCCCCAGAATCCTTCCCTTTCCCTTCTTTCCTTGCCTCCTCCCACCCCCTCAAGATAAAACTGATTTAGAATTTGCTCACCTAGATCAAGCTCATTGGCCTGTTCTTCTAATTCCAGGCTCAATTTCAGCTAATCAGGAGGCCTCTTGATGACATGGAGGGCTTCGATGCTTCATCAGTAGGACTATAAAATCACCTGGCTAACTCCCATCTAATGAGAGGGGGAAATGTACTATCACATAATTTCCCCCTATTACCTCAAAAATCAAAATTAATTAAGTAGGTTTACACCCCCCTCCCCTCCCAAGGGTAACTTTGTATGTTCACAAAAGAAGAACCCTTTCACAGCCTAGCTACTGCAGGCTTCTATGAGATTGAATCACTTCATCTTCCTAGTTCACATCTGTCCTGATTGCCACGTGGCTCTAAGGATAACTAGTTGCCATATTCCTCACCTAGTAACTCTATAAGAATATTTACCATGTGTTACTGACTGAGCCTGTCTGGAGCTGATCCTTGCTTCAGTTTCAGAATTGAAATAACATGAGACATTTGTAGACCATCTAATAATTAATAAAAGGAAGTTTATCTAGTTTAGCCAAAGCAGGGAAAGGATCTCAAGCAAGGATACAGCATCAATGCATTTGCTTGCACCTTTCTTGCCTCTGTGTTGGCCTTGCTGGTTTAAAGCCGAAGGGAGGAAGTCCTTACTCCTTGCATGATGGCTACATCAATGGTTCAAAACTTACTCTCTTTGGCCAATTAAGCCTCAATGACATTTTCAAATACTTTAAATGAAAAACTAGCCTACTCATTTTAGTTCTCATTATTTCATTATTATTTCTAAAATGAAATAGTGAAATGAGTGGAATCATGAGAACATCATACACCTTAACAGCAATATTGTTTGAAAAACAACTGCAAATGACTAAGTTATTTTGAGTATCACAAATACTCAGATTAACTACAAAGGACCTATGAGGGGAGATGCTATCTACCTCCAGAAAAAGAACTGATAAACATAAGTATGGTTTTACACACACATATATGTGTGTGTGTTTGTGTGTGTGTCAAATGGTAGCCTTTTCTAGTGTGGGATGGAGAGGGAGGGAGTAAAAAAATTAAAAGTGCCCAGCAGAAAACAAAAGAAAACTCAGAGGGAAGCACAGAATAGCAAGGTAGTTTTGCAAACGATGTGTAGTATTTATTACATTTTTTTAACTAAATGATGTGAAATGGAGATTCGTGGTTTCATATTGAATCCTCTTTCTGTGTTGTGCTGTGTACATGGAAATGCTTTTTTTGTCTTTTAATTCAAAATGAATAAACATTTTTAAAAAGAAAGAAAAACTAGCCTCGCCTGCAAAGGGTAGGACCTTAGGATATTACTCCTGCCATAACAGAGGAAATAAGACCATGGCCACTTAGTAAAGCGCACTGACCATAGGGTCCCCTGAGGCTCTCTCCTGGGCCCTCTTCTCTTTTCCTTCTATACTATTTCAGCTGATGATTTTATGGTCACAACTATCACCTCTATGCAGACCACTCTCAGATCTTCTCCCGCTCCAGCTGCCTATTAGACATCTTGAACTCAACACATTCCAAACTGAACTCATTATCATTCCCCCTAAACCTTCACTTCTTCTTACTTTCTCATTGCTTTTGAGGATACCACCAACCTCCCAGTTTCCCAGGCTCGAAGCTGAGATGTCATTTTCAATCCCTTACTCCCTTACCACCCCCACCCTCACCCATATCCAGTCAATTGTCAAGTTCTGTCTTTCTACCTTCACAATTTCTCTTCTACATGTCCCATTCTCTCCTCTGACACACTGCCACCACCCTGGTATAGGCCCTCATATTATTGTTGTTCATCCTCCATTCTCGAAGAGGACCAATGACATCATGAGTGCATTGTCTTGACTTGCCCATGAATTGGATTTGAGTGAGGCAGAGCTGCACAAAGTCGTCAGCCTCCCTCTGTCCTCCAGGGCCATCAAAGTCTAGTGGCAAGGCAAAGGTCGAGATGACTGGTGATGGCCCAGGTTGCAATGGGTGACCATGGCTCTTTACAGTAAGGTCCTTCCCAAGCCTCACTTTGTCTGAGTAGGCCCTCATAACCTCATGACTGCCTCAAGTCTTTCTTCGCTCCAGTGCATGATAATAACTAACATCTATGTGGCGCTTACCATGTGCCAGGTACTGTGCTGAGTGCTCTACATCTCATTTGACCCTCACAACAACCCTGGGAGGAAGATGCTACTATTACCCCATTTTATAGATAGAGAAACTGAAGCAAACAGATTAAGTTACTTGCCCAGGATCATATACTTAGTGTCTGCGGTCAAATTTAAACTCGGGTCGTCCTGCCTTCAGGAATACAATATATCCTTCACTCAGCTATCAAATTTCCTAAAGTACAAATCTGACCATATCACCTCCCTATTCAGTAAACTCTTGTGGCTCCTTATTACTTCCAGGATCAAACATAAAACCTTATG